GTCCTACCTAATTGGGATTTGGGGTTTCTGAAGTTCATAATTTCAGGATTTTCTTCAGAAAAGTGGTGCTAGCAGCCTTCTTTTTAATGAATTGATTGTCCATAATCCTGTGAGCCTAAAACTCACTGTGGCCATAGACTATTGGGATTGTGATGAAAGTTTCAGCATTAGCTATATTATGCTAGTTACCTTAACTAAGTTTCTTGTGCTGCTGCATTGAAAGGGCTGCAGAATTAGGCACAAAATTAAGAGCTAAAGCAGTTTGCTTCATTTTGATTGTTTTGCTCTAACAGAGTCCTTTACGAGTATTTGCACTTCTTCACACAGCAGAAATGCTGTAAGCTATTAGTTTAAGTGCTGCCAAATGGATGGTATTTTCACACCAGGATGTTTCAAAAGCTGCCAGACTTTGACTGGCAGAAGTATGATGGGTGATGTCTGACACAAGCTTTGAAACTCACTGTAAAGAATGAAATTCAGCTTCACAAAGCTTGGCAGGTCTGGTAAACTTCTTGCAGCTACAGAAGGTGAGTGGCTCTTGGAATTGAATACCATCTCTGTGAAGAAGAGCAACAGTAGATTTCATATAATGGGAGCAAGAATAGTTTATCTTCCTCTGCCTGAGCATTTGAGCAGCTGATTGCCAGTCCCCATTGCAGCATGGCTGCCATAGCAGAGAGGCTAGCAGCTCTTCAGCTTTGAGCCCAGCATCCCAGAGCTGTAATTTATCTCAGCCCACCAAGAGAGGGTTGTGGTAGTGCTAACCTAAGTTATGATCATCACCCTTGAGAACACTGCTTTGCTTAGCTGCAAGACTACTTCTGTCTGCAGACAGTGCTGCTTCATATGAGGGAGAAACCAGTGCAAATCCCCTCACTCTATTCTAGGCTTTGTTCTAGAGTTCTATCCATAGTAGTCTTCTTGTTTCTGTCATGACCATGCCCATGAGCATGGAGAGACCAGAGAGCCTGTCCTGGTATAAGTTTGTTGTCTCACCACTGATCTGAAGTTTTACCTGGTAGTACTGGGGCTTTGAGTGACAATGTGGAACTGGTTGGGATAGCTGCTGTGAAACCAGTTTGTTTAGTTGCATCTCTTCTGGGAAGGTTGGGCTGTGTTTCCTCAGGTCACATGTTTCCAGGGTGGTGTAGGGGAAGCAAAGGTGTCAGCATATGGAGATTACCTTGATCTGCCTGCAGGTGCTGGTGTCGGGTTCTATATTGGTTGAGATGATGGATAGTGTGCTAAATATGTGAATGTGCAACTGACCTCAAAAGCCTGTGTCATCCCATTAACTTCAGCAGCTAATATTAGGTCATGCGCTTCATAACTTGTCTGAACTGGAGCTTGTGGAGTGTTTACAGTCACGAGTAGAAACATGTGGTTTGGAAAAGTATGGGAAGAAATTATTTATCTGGTATAGCCTGCTAAATCTCTTTGGAGGATTTTACTGGTGTAAAGACAGAGAGATAAATCATGAAATAGGAAATCATCAATATGCATGCAGTTCAGGCTTGATCTAACTCTGCTTGTGATCCATATTTGCCGTGAGAATTGGACTGTTCCCAAAATTCAGGAAGTGAGGGTGGTATTAATATTACTAGCTGACAGAATGTTACAGGGTGAATGATTAGTTTCCAATAAGAAAGGAGCTTTTGGTTCAGTTCCAGTTCCTTTTGGTGTAGTCTGCAAACCAAAACGACCAGAGCTGTGACCTGGAGTAGCTGTAGCGCTTATCAGATGAAGATCATGATTTGTCTGCATTACGAAATGACATAGCTATTGACCTTGAGGAGGCATATTAGTTGGCTATCTTCCACTCTCTTGTGAAGATAAACTCTTGGAAATGGTGGTTCTGCATTAGCACAGCTGTTACACATTCTTTGTTGATAAACAGAGGGCTTTACTCCTTTGTACTGGCCCACTTTGCAATTTTCAGGACAGAGGTAAAAAGATGAAAAAAGCTCCCCCTGCCCTTCTAATCTCCTTCAGACTTTATTCTTCAGACTTATTATGATCTGTGAAAGAATTTCCTTACTTATTGTTGTGTGCCTTGTAATATAATATTTTCTGGTTTCTTAGTCCCATCTATCTCCCCTTCCCACACCCCAAGAAAACAAACCCCAGACCACCCCAGCCCTTGAAAGCAGCCTTGTGAAGGTAACTGTTCAGTGATGCGGGTGGCACAGTCAGGTCCTCAGGAAGCTGCGCTGGGTGAGCGCAGAGAGCGCAAAACATGTTAAGCAGGTGGGGGGTGTACGAAGTGGAAGCACAGAGCAGTCGCAACAATTAAAACTCTTCATTGGAAGGACTTTTGTTTCCTGAGGTAAGCGTGAAATTGAGTTTTCAGTTTTTGCATTGTATAGGCAGTATCTGAATGTGTGAGTATCGATTCCTTTCCTCGCTGTTTGGGCCCATAGGCAGGTAGATTTTGTCCTAGTTTTACCTAAACCCACTCATTGACCTCAGAGAGCAGTAGCACTCTCTTCTCTAATTATAGACTAGTGTCTTAATAGACTAATTCAAGCTGTTCCCCACTCAATCACCCACTGACCTGTATCAGTGAGAAAAGTCTGCATTTGAGTTTTATTTAAAATTAAATTTTTTTGGATGGTGTATTTTGTAAGTCTAATACCAGATCCTCAGGGGAGGGAGGGAAGAATCTTTTAATTAAGTTTCTATTTAGGTATCAGGCAAGTTCTATCAGAGGCAGATGAAGCATAAAGCTCTAATGGGAGAGTAAAATTTGTAATTTAAGTGATCAGGTGCTTCATACCTCTCTCAGCATTTTGAGGGCCACAGAATTTTGTCATGTTGCCATAAATGAAAATCCCTTAGAAAGAAGATGTTATGTTGCATTGAAAAGCTGTTACTGAGCATGAGTTTAGCACCTATAGCTCCTCTGGTAATTGTGGGATTTTGGCCTCAATTACTTAAATTGTGACCTTACTTTAAGTTAGGGAAGCATCTTCTAAATCTCTCTTTGCCAACTACCTAACCACTTGTCCCTTATGTTTTAGTCATAAATAACTACTGGTTCTTTTATTCAGGGGCAAGAGGTAGAATTCTTTTCACGCCAACCCTTCCACCTCCGTTCCTCTTGAAGTCCTCTTGATGTCCGTTTGAATGGCAAATGGATCTCTGACTCAGTAGTGGAAAAAGCTGGCTTTTAATTTCTCTCACCATGGGGTTTAGGAATGAGTCAGGCATAATTAAGAGCAGGGAACAAAACTGGAGAAGTGCTAATGGACCTGCAAGTCTTGTGCTCAGAGTGGGCTATAGCATATCATAGAATATAGGATGCTTTGAATGCTGGAGATTTTATTTATTTGTAAATTGTGAGGAACCTTTTAATATCCTATGCTGGGCAGTTTTTAGATTTGGGATGTCTTAAGACCACAGTCAGGTCTCTCATCCTATTCCCTCATGCAAGAAGAGACATGCTAGAACTTAAGTGATAGCAGGAGGGGTGAGGAGTACCTTCACAATCCTTCTAGCAGGGCAGAGCTGCAGCTGGGGGTCTCACCTGCTCTGCTAGGCTGGAGGGAGTCTGGGAGATTTTGTGAAACATATTTCTGGGTCAGCTTGACAAGTGATGTTGTCAAAAATGTGCAGACATGTTGGAGTTGGGCTGGTAAGGAGCAGGGCATGCTCCCACCTGCTCCAGGATGACCTACACGGAGGGCTGCTGACGGGCTGGGTGGGCTGGAAAGCTGTTTGCTTTCTGTCTCTGTGTATCTGAAATAAGCATATTTCTGAGGAATATTTTAATTTCAAATAGTGTTTTTCACTGGTAAAGCATGTCATGTGAAACTGTCTGATGAGCATAGCTGTTTTGCCTCAGCATTAAGAAACATTTGCTGATCTGGCATATTGCAGGTGATTAGTAGTGTTTGCTGTTGGAACAAAGTGCAGCTTATCCTGGTCATATTTGACCAAAATAAGGTCTTTGTAAGGCAGGGAATGTGGACGTGTCAAAGTTTGCAGATAAAAGGAGAGGGCAGTGCAGCTGGTGATGTGAGATGGAACAAGGAGCAGCATGTGAGTCTCTCTCTATTATCTCTAAACACCAAAGGTTGGTGCTTTCAGCTGATCTGTTTTTGCTCTAAAACTATAAACTTCACCTACATTCCTGTAGGTGACCTTTCTGCCTCTGTCTCCTCTTGCTGGGGCTGGCTGATGACAATTTCCAAGGTAAATGCTGTGGAATGATACCTTGCAAGTAGGCTCCTTTTTTGTGATCCACCACTGATTGCTCAGCTACCAAAGAGGCAGGACGATGGATGTCCTGTTTGATGTGTGCCGTCGGGATCATCCAGAGCAGATTGTCTCTCTATCAGCTTGAATTCCCTGGTGCTGGTAGGCTCATATGTTTTAGTTTCACTCAGCTTTACTTTTTGTGGCTTAATGCACCTTGGGACTGTGTACCTGATGCTCATCTTGGCAAGGGCTGGACTAAAGCTAAAGGAGTAGTGACAGCTTGCACTGGCAAGAGCTTTGGCCAAATTAAAACATTTTGTCCTGCAAGAGTTCTGTGCAATTTTGAATAATTAAATGGAAAACATTGTGGGTGTAGGCTGCCTGGCTTTAGAGGAAGATTCCTAGAAAATAGATAATTCTGGAGAAGAATGGATTTACTTTGTCTTATTGTTATTTTTATGTCCTTCAAAATGCATTAAGTCTCTCAGTTGTAATCTGTGTGGTGGATAATCTGTGTCAATGGACATACTTAGTTTCTGGATCACGGGCTCTCACGTTTTTCACGATCTGTGGAAAAGTTGATGTGTTCAATGGCAGCCCCCCCAAAATCTCAGGTGTAACATGGGGATGCTGCCAGCTGAAGGAGATGGAGAGAAACCGGTGGGTTTCTGAGCATTACGGCAGAAAAGAAAGCTGTCACCTTTACCCCGTGGCTCATGAGGTGAGAAGTGGAGCTGTGATGAAGTTGTCCAGGGACTTTGAGGCAATCTAGGTGGTACTTGCTTGACCTTGGACCAATTGCTTCATATCTCAGCACTTCTTTTCTTAGGTGATGAAAGAATATAATGATGATAATACGTCTCTCTTAACAAGGCTGTTGTGATGAATAAATTAATTAATCGTCATGCTCTTCTCAGTTACTATGGTAATTAGTGCTACAGAACAGCCTAAAAATAAATAGGATCATTTAGTGAAGGATATTCAGGGGAAATCAGGTAGTCTGCCCTGAGCATTTGCAGTAGCCCTGGAGTGTTTTGCCCAAACAAGGATTTGTGAAAAACATTCACGGATGCTGAATTATTGTAGAAAAAATGCTTCCAAATATTAAATATGTTCCTTCCTCCTCATTTGAAGTGACTCTAGCACACATTTCCTTCCATATCTGTGAGCAGATGATTCTTGCAATTAGTTCCCCTGTTGAGAACAGCACTCCCTCCTCACCCCATCTCCTTTACAGCCTAAGGGCACCTGAAATGAATGAATCTTTCTTCATCATAAATCATACATACTCAGTAATACTGTCAAAGAATTCTTAATGTGTTTGGGGAGTTTACGTAATGAACCTTCCTTCAGAAAGGTGAAGTATCGTCAATGCAGTGCCTTGCCTGGAAGTCTGTTATAACCTTGGTGTACAGCAAGGAGATCACACCTAAATCCATGCATGAGTCTATGCAAAGTTTTTGAGGCTTTCCCTCAGTGATCAGTTAACTACATCAGCATGCCCCGAAGCCAGTCTTTCAAAGTATGATACGATGTTTAGTCTTCTGTGAATTGTATAGATTGCACAGGCATCATTAAAGTATATTTTTTGGGCTTTCAACTTAATATAATTTTGGGCCCTAGTAAGTTAGAAAGTATGTGTGAAGATAGTTCTGAGTCTTTCAGTGAAGGCAGCGCCCCTTCAAGGCTGTGGTTTCCATTGCTTCATATCACTGGAGCTGTCCTTACATGGAAAAAGTATCATGTCTCTAGGCAAAGATTTGCCATTAATGACTGTCTTTTCTTACTTTTTGTACAGCTTCTGTCATGGATGTCCACTGTCTGTCTTTGCTCTGGGTTGCAAAAATAGCAATCTTTTCTGACCTGGCCAGTTGGTGACTAGTTTATAGTTAGGGTTTGTGCAGAGCAAACCTGTGCTTTCTTCCTCTCACTGTTGCACCTACAGCAACCTTCATCTGTTCACCTCCCGCAGCACCTCCTTACATTGAACTAGGAAGCTACAAACAGCAAGAGCAACAAATGTGCCTTCTGCTTCTTGAGGATTAAGGAGCAGAATGCCTTGGCATTCTTGGTCTCCTCCTTATCCCAGCAAAGAGAACTTGGGGCTCATCCGTGGCCTTCAGCAAGGTACTGACAGAACAGATATCATGACTGACAAACAGCTGAAATATCTGTTTTATTCTCCAGAGCTTTATTGCTCTTGAGTCATACCATAATTTTTCAAATCTTAAAATCTCGTGGAGGACATCCTAAATCTGCAGGGGGGACCTTTGTGCCATGCTCTCGAGCACTTGGCTTTACTGTGACCGTCTGCTTCAGGTGTCATCAGCTTTGCAGGTACCTCCCCGTGTCTCTGTAACTGCTTGTGAATCTCTCACCTTGCTACCAGTGGCAACCTAATGGATATTGGGCAGATGCACATCAAGGGAAAAAGGGTGTGTGGGAAGCAGAGAGATCTCCTGATGCTTCTTTTCATGGTTTGTCTCTTCTTGCTTCCTTTGCTTCAGCTGCACCTTTCTGACACATAAGTTTTGGAGCCTGTGGGTTTTCATATTCAGTTAGTTTTTATTTGTGTTACTAGGTAAATCTCAGCCCTGAAGAGCTTCCAGTTGTTGTCAGGTTTGTGCCAGGCAGGGTCACTACTTGCAACTGCAGTTGCTTCTGTCTGTGTGTGTGGTTTCACTGTTGTATTACCCAGCCCCACTTCCACATGTATGCCCTTATCCACACATCCATACAACCTGTCTCTTTTGCAGAGACCTACAAATATCCCTGACTGTATTTTCTGCTTCCCCCCACCTCTGTTTTCCTGTCAACAGTCCCTCTGCCCACTTTGGGTGTCACTGTGTGAAGAGAGCAAATAATGACGCAACAGTGGTTTTAGCTGATGGTTGACATCAATGGTGCCCTCGTGCAACTTGGCTGCCTCTTGGTCTTCATTCTTGAAGCACAGAGAAGAGTTCAGTCTGAGTAAACTGTGAGCGAGATGTTCACTTGTGACAGCTCAGTACCTTCAGCTGGTGTGAGGGTGCACTGAACACAAACCAGAGAGTTCAGTCTCCTGTCCAAGGGGAGATTTGCTCCTCTTGGCATAATTATTAAAGCAAAGTGGTAGAAGAGTACTGAGAGAGCTTCCATGGCTTTTTCCTTCCTGACTACTTGTGGCGAAATTTATCAAATAGATATTAATGCAGTTTGATTCTGACTGTAGATAATGGCTTGACTTACTTCTATCCTCAAACTGAGCTGAAGCAGAATGCAAGAGTGTAGTTGGAAATAACGTTATATTGCACCTATGAAGCTACATGTCCAACCTTTGAACAAAGCACTGTCAGCAAAGGCCAAGGGGTTAGATGGCTGTGGCTACTTTTTAACTTGTCTTTAGTCATGTTCTGAAAGATTCATCCTCATCTCCCTGCTTACTGGTTGTTACTATTGACCTGGCACAGTACATTTCTGATTATTATTTGAGACATTTTGGTAAAGTATGAACACTTTATGTCATGTAGGTGGTGAGCTCTGTTTTAACCTTTTATCTCCATTCTTTTCCTTTTTCTTCCTGTTTGTTGCACTAATGCTTTAAAATGTTGACCTTCTGGAGAAATGCTTCATAGCATTGCTTAGCATTCAGACCAGCTTAGATCTTGTTAAGAAGGGTTTTCTTCTTTTTCCTTAGGGTGTTGTTTGCCTGGAAGTGACTTGTGTTTTATTCTTCAGTTCCAAATACTTCATCTCGTTCTCTCCTAGCACTAATCTTCTGCTGTAAGGATGTCGCTGGGACAGGGATGAGGGATGTGGTCAGAAAAATTGTCTTAATCCCAATCACAGTTCACATCAATAGAAACTGTTTTACTTTTACCATTATTAGTGAAGTGGGATGATTGTAGGTAATGGCTAAATGAGGTCAGAGAACTTCCATAACCCGTTCACTGACATCCAAAATGTGGAGGGCAGAACTTCTGTGCGGGGTACTGATTTACATCTGCAGAAAGAGTACCTCCACTCTTTCTTTGGGCATAATAGTCCCAGGACAAGGGGGAAAGGTTTTAAACTGAAAGACAATAGGTTTAGATTAGAATTAGGAAAAAATTTTTAATGCGCTGGTGGTGAGGCACTGGAACAGGTTGCCCAGAGATGTTGTGGATGCCCCATCCCTGGAAGTGTTCAAGGCCAGGCTGGATGGAACTCTCACAGCCTGGTCTAGTGGAAGGTATTCCTGCCCACAGCAGGCGGTTTGGAACTAGATGATCTTTTAGATCCTTTCTAACCCAGGCCATTTTATGATAAGCCTTAATTTCTGAATTTCTAGGCATTGGCGCTTTTTCTCATAATAATACTGCAAGTATTGTTATACCTAGATTTTTTAAAAATAGATTTGCACATACAGCAGTAAGAGTTGTCTTGTAATGTCCGTGCTCAACTTTGACTTGGACAGTGCGTAACTGTGAAGATTTTGTATGGATACTTCTGTCCAAAATATAAACCTCCTGGGTTGCTTGTGACTGCAAACTAGATCTGATAGTTTCTGTGGTTCCTTCCTGAGTTCCTATAACTAATTTCTAATCTGGCCTATGTCTCTTAATGTTTGTTTGGTTGGTTTTTTTTTCAGCTGGGAGTTGCCCAGCATCGTGGATAGCTCTCCCATTTTTCTTTCTCAGCTGCATGCTAGTCTCTTAGTGTGTCTGCCCCTTTCTGACACTCTTCCTTTGTGTGTGCCTGTACCACAGGGCTGTGTAGATAGTGACAGGGAATAGAATAAAGAAGATAAAACTTCTCCTCATTTTCTTCCACTTTCCCTTGGTGCCTGCACACAGGCAGCAGATGTGTACCCCCTTCTGCAGCAGTGTTCAGCACCCCGTACATGTGGCATGTCTGTTAAATGTCTTGTGTGGTACAGTGGTGCTGCAGACCAGGTGCTGCTGGGCCCATGCTGGCTTCATGCTGGTAGGGGTCTCTCCTAATGGTGACCTCTGAGCCACGTTGAGGCAGAGCATCCTAGAAGTGCTTGTTTGCGTGTTTGGCATGTGCTGTTTCCACCTTCAGCTCTTATATGCGTTTCAGAAGCTCCTGCCTTTGTAACTACAACCCCTGCTCTCTCTTAAGTCAGGATTGTCAATGAGTGTTTGTTGAAGCATCTTGTGAGCCAAAAATCCACTGCTGTTATGAAATCAGCAGCAGCGCTAGTTCTGCCAGTGTTAGTGATATCAGTTGTTAGCATCTGAAGAGATGACGTGTCTTTTGTTTTCCCTATTCAAATACTGGTAACTTCCAGAAGCAGGATATGGGACAGCGTGGTCCAGAGTGCTGTCCTGCATGGCAAACCGCACGTCTGTGCCTGCCTTCTCGTTTTGAACTGCGTTATTTGTTTTACTGACATAACCCATTGATTAGTATGTTGCAACCTAGTTACTGTGATCTGGGGAGAAGAGCAAGACATTACTGTATGGAAAGGAAGCAGTCCTCTGACAGCTGTATTCCTCAGGTTTTAACTCTAGTTTAGCAATAACATTGCAACAAGAGAAGGCCAAAGGTCAGCATGCAAATATTTTGGGTTTTCGTTATCTTATTCTCTGGATGCAATTTCAGGCTGATACTTCTTCAAATTCATCAAGGAAGGCAATGCAAAATGTTGTAAAAATGTCACCTTTTCATATTAATCATGTGTTGGAGTGACCAAAATCAAACAAAACTAAACAACACACTGTGAAAGTAAACACACATGCATTTTTTTGCAAAGCTGTAAGTGATAAGTGGGGAAATGGGAATTTGTTAAAGGAATCCCTTTATAAGGAATAGTTTATAACAAGTAAGTAACAATTTGCTTTTAATTCAGTGCGTTATCAGATTGTTCTTCATGGCATTCAGCGGTCCTGTGTCTAAACTCTTTTTGCCTCAGGTGAGGTTCTCATCAGTGAGAACAATTATGTTTCAGAGGGCAATGTTCAACAAGCTGCTTGTGTACCTAGGCAAACAGTTGATTTGACTGAAAATAATACAATTCCTTTTCATTATGCGCAAATGTAGGTGTTTCAGTATAGTTACTTCGTTGGTCATTCATGCATAGGCATAAGTTCAGGAGCCTCTGGAAGTGCTTCCATTTAAACAAACTTTTTCTTTCCCCCACCTTTCATGCAGACTTAGCGGTTGAGCCAAATAACTACGAATCCTCAGGGGTTTAAAAGATTTAATGAGAACAATTGTTATGGTGCAAGAAGGGCTGACAAGTCCTGGAAATATGGCAGGAGTGAGTTCTGAAGGACCTGGCTAGTGAACTACAGCCACCTGTGTTATGGACATAAACATAACTGGAGAGGCATACTGGTGGGCTGATGGCAATTTGTTTGCAGGGAAATTGGAGGAAAAAAAAAAAAAAGAGAGACCTAGTGATGACTGACCTGAACGTTTTCCACTGGGCTGTTTGGTGAAGCCAGTGGAGAGATGCTTTCTAGCTGATGGTTGCAAATTTGTTTCTCCCACCAGACAACAAGGTCATGATTTTCATTCTGCCTTAGCTGGACTCTTGTTCCCACTAGTTCTTGTGAGTAACCTTTTCCTTCACATTTTTCTGTTTGTCTCAGGTACTGAAAGGTTCAGGACAGAGGTTTTCCTGTGCTTTCCGTAGCCACTGCCCATTGCTGTCCTGAGGAGAAGCAGCGTCAGGAAGGCGGGTGCTGCCCTGAGGAGAAGTGGTGGGAAGGCTGCTGCCCCTTGCCTACAGGGTGTCAGGGTGAGGCTCATCACAAGGCTTCCCTGTGCTGGCTGCCATGGAGACCCTGTCCCAGGACTCTCTGCTGGAGTGCCAGATTTGCTTCAACTACTACAGCCCCCGCCGGCGGCCCAAGCTGCTGGACTGCAAGCACACCTGCTGCTCGGTGTGCCTGCAGCAAATGAGGACCAGCCAGAAGGACCTGCGCTGCCCCTGGTGCCGCGGGATCACCAAGCTGCCTCCGGGGTACTCTGTGTCACAGCTGCCCGATGACCCCGAGGTGATCGCCGTCATCGCGATCCCCCACACCTCGGAGCACACCCCTGTCTTCATCAAACTCCCCAGCAATGGCTGCTACATGCTGCCCTTGCCCCTCTCCAAGGAGAGGGCGCTCCTGCCAGGAGACATTGGCTGCCGCCTCCTGCCTGGCAGCCAGCAGAAGTCCCTGACGGTGGTGACGATCCCCACAGAGCAGCAGCCGCTGCAGGGCGGCCTTTCCGCCGAGGCGGGAGCGGAGGAGCCGGACCGGAGAGGTGCTGTGAAAAGCTCCACCTGGTCTGGGGTGTGCACTGTGATCCTGGTGGCCTGCGTCCTGGTCTTTCTCCTGGGCATCGTCCTCCACAACATGTCGTGCATTTCCAAGCGCTTCACGGTGATCTCCTGCGGCTGAGGTGGGGAGGGGGCTGTGCTCCCCCGGGGGTTGGGTTGGGTTGGGTCAGTCGTGGTGGTGGTGGTGGTGTGGAGCGAGACGATTCACTGCAGCTTTCTCCAGTGACTGCAGGACACTGTGCACCGGGGCAGTGGTGTGCCAGCCCGGCTGCGGCTCCCGGCGGCGTGGCTTCAGGCCTCTCGGCAGCCCGCGGAGAAAATCACGTCCCGTGTCTGGCGGCAGTGGCACTGAGGAGGACTGCATGTGTCACCATAATCATTTATCAAAGGGACTGCAACTTTACAGTGATCTTTTTTATTGTGTTACGAGATTAAAGACCTCTGTGTAGCTGGTTATACTGTGAACTATACGGTATGGGCTCTTCTTTAAACACAGTAGATTAAAATCAAAACTGCTCCATGTAGAATTAAATGAGAACTGGCGTGCAACTGTATGAGAGGTGTTCAATACCAGACCACACATGCATAATTTTTTAATGGGGGGAGGGAGGGAGACTTGTAAAACCAAGAAATCGTTATGCTGGTAAGGCATTTTATATGTTTTAAACTGCACATTAATTAAACCAAGTTAGGGAGTTGTAAAATAGTTTTTAAAAGGAAGCATTTTACAAGCAATCATTTCCTTCCTTGGTGTCTGGTTTTTCACCTCTCTGTTTTTCGCTGTTGTTTTTCAAGTACAGGGAAGTGGCACTTCCAGCGTCTTTTATTTGAAGGAGCTTCCAGGAAGGGAAGCAAAGTGGGCTAGGAGGAATACCTAAAAATGCAACCAAAACAGTTCCACCTACCTGGCTTCTTGCAAAGGATGGCTTTGCAGTGTAAACATTGGACATGCTGTTTTACTTCCAGTCTGGCAGACTTCCTGATGACCTGGTCTCCATAGCCATTAGTGAAGAAATGGATCGTGAGAAGTCCTAGGACTCCTGAAATTATGTGATAGCATATTGTTCTTAATTTTCTAGAGGTTGGGTTTTATTAAATATTTTTAGAGAATTTAGACCTATTTTGCCTCCCTCTTGCCCAGGAGATGCAACTGTGCAACTATGAATGGTGTGACAGACGAGTTCCTCTAAGGAAGCTTCACCATCCCAACTGATGCAATCATCTAGTAATAAATAGTGATGAAGCGGTATCTGGGAGGAGAACTCAGACCAACCTAACCTTGTATGGGTGGGCTACCCCTCCTAAACTACTGTGGTTGTCCTGGTATCAGAATGTCTGGGTGAGCATAGTGGAGCCTATTCCCATATTTCAGTCTTATAAATGTTGATGTTCATAAGGACAGATTTGAAAGAAAAGAACCACAGGAAGTGTCTCCCTCCACCTGTGAGTGTCATGACACCCCTGTCGTTTGCAGTTCACTTCTTGGGAAAAGGCAAATTCCTGAATGTTCACTGCAGTAGCACCTTGCTTTAAGCAGTCCCACTAGCTTTAGTAGTACTTCTCATAATAGAGCTCAGTGTGAATTTGGGTATTGGCAAGTCTGAAAGCTTAAATTTGTGTGAGATTTAGGGATTGAATCAAGGGGCACTCTATAGAAGACAGAAAAATCTATTGAATTGCACTGCTGCTTTTTGCAAGTACAAAGCATAACCTTTGAAGTGTGTCCTCTTGTCATCTACCTACTGCTGTTTCTAATATTTAGAGCTTGCTCAAGGCCATATTATAACACAGTTTTGACTATGCAGTGCCCAAGTTTACCCCATAGACGTCCTTAGTTTTCTGGTTATGTCACAAAATCCAGTTGCTGGTTCACAATAAACATTCTCAGCTAAGACTTCTGTCAGGAACATACCTCTAACTTCATGCTGGATTTCTTGCCTTCCCTGTTCCAAAACCACTGTTTTCTTCCTTGATTCCTGTTAACTTCTGAATAGAATATACAGTGCTTAGTTGTTATGGTGTGTATTTGGTCATGTATGGAGAGGAACCACTGTGCTGATTTTTATCTACTGTCATATGAAAGCATAGCACAAAAAAAAAGAAAAAAGAAAAAGAGAAAACTTTTCAGATAACACATTCAATGCCTTTTTTATGCAAGGCCCAGTTGCAGTATGCCTTGAACCTGGCTTGTGAGCATTGTAATTACATGGACACCTCTCTGCAGCATGTTTCATTTGGTTGCAGTAGGGAACAGCAGGTATTCCCAAACGTGTCTTGTGAACATTCAAGTCTGTTGTTGCCAGTAGGTAGCCAGATTTCTACTGCCATCCATGCTATGCTGCTTATTGTGTAAAGGAAAGCCAGTTCACAAAAAAATCCTGCCTTTTATAAGACTCTGGAGGAAGTGACCAGATACGGGACTCAACCCTCTACTGCCTTACTCTGTCGCAATTGCTGGGTGTACCAGGAGCATATGGCATAGGTGAAAGATGCTCCCAGAACAGCGCTGATGCATTTTGCACCAGCTTCTGTATTTGGTTATGTGAGTTGTCAGTGAGTGCACAAAAATGCAAGGCAGTCAAAGAGCAGGTCCTGGCGATGCAGTGGTGGTAACGTTGCCTCCTTCCAGCCATACCTGCCTAACTGAAGCTCTTGAGGCTGAGGTTTGCAAAGAACGGCTGTCTTAAAAACTACCCTTTTCATCCCTATATGGAAGGTGCAGAATGAAAGAGAAATCAGAAATTAGGTTAAAATACCACACTGCATAACACATTATACAACAGGCAGACCTGGAGTTTATCTGGTATTAATGACGTAAGTATTATATTAGCAGAATACCATCCTGTACTACGTAACACAGTGCATTGTTTCATTAATACAAACTTCCTGTACTTCTTGTGCCTGCTGAAATGCATGTTTGACCTAATTTCTGATCCAGACATTTGCCTGCTTGCAGCCTTGTGTAAGAGCAATAAGTAAAACCTCAAGATTTTTGCCTGCGTGTATGCGCATGGTGTGTATGTTCATTCCTTTTTATAAATAGGAGTTCTGGAAAAGATTTTGTTCTGGCTTTAGACTGTGACTATCATTTTAAATTTTCAGCTGCCATACATGTTAGATCACCTAGCTTTTTTGCTGACTTGTGTAGAAGTGAACTAAATAGTTTGTTGTAATGTACAGTATTAAAATGTTTCTCAAGTATGTTGATAGTCATACCACTTTAAAAATGCAGTGCAGTCTGTCCCATTCCTTGGTCCAATACCTGGCATTAAAAAGTGATACTGCTATTTTTTTTCTTTAATTACTATTATTATCTTTAAAAGGCAACCTTGTCTTTGTAATTTTTCCTCTGTGGAGAAACGTATTTGGACTTGTGTCAAAATCATGAGATTCCAGGTTAACTATTGTTCTCTGTTGTCCAGTAAGAAATCACTGCCCAGTTCCACCAAAAAGAAAATTACTGGAATGGAAAATTACTGTGACACAGTACTGTTTGAGAAACCAAAACTTATTCTAAAATGTGCACCTGCATTTTTAGAGCAAATTACTCTGTATGAATGTGTATTTATTTGCTTGTTTAATGGGAAGGATGTGTGTGTTGGAGTCCAGTTTTAAGTTTTTTTCTTGGATGGTCCCAACATCCATTGTTGACTTATGCTTTGCTGGCAAACAGATTTTAGGGTTCACTCAGTGAAATTTTGTTTAGTGAATTTTAAAAATTCAAAATATGCAATTTTGTTATGCAGGATTTTTTTAGGAAATTGTGTGTTCAGTGGTTGTTCATGCTTAACCAAGATGTAAAGGAGCCTGTATGTTTTGTAAACATGGAGCAGTCATGAGTCCAAAGTTTCGTCTTTATTAATGAAGCTCAGTCTGAATAAAACATTAGCAAGAAAAGAATGATAGCAAGTGAATTATGGTACCTCTGTTATTTTGTCATCAAATGAAGACCATGGAAGGGAATTTGGCAGAATTGCTCCTTATTTTACTAGAGTGTGGCTGAAATTCAGCAGTCAGCATTTAAAGGCAAAGTATGAAGTATGGGTTGTCATAAATAATAAAAGGCCATTCCTGCTTTGATTATGGTGGAATACAGAATTATAGCTGATGACTACTGAGCCACACAACTTTTCTTTTTCTGTTTTAATCAAATTCCTTAAAAATTTTAACTAAACATTTTGCTTATGGAAGTGAGGGTTTGTTGGCCTTGGCTTAAGCATGTATTGCACAGACTAGTATGCTGATTCCCCCTTCCCCTGGAGCCCCCCTTCCCAGTCACATTATTGCTGGAGCCCTGGGCAGCCAGATTTTTTTAATAGTGCAAATGCTTTTCTGGATTAAAGAAGGCTGATGTTGCACTGGTTTTGTTACGTTCACAACAGGGCTAAACCATAACCAAACAATTCATGCGTGGATTGAGCTCCTCTGTAGGTGTGCCAGTATCAAAAGCTCCAGGCACCAGTCTATTGCGTGAATTGAGCCAAGCCTCTATTCACTTGACCTTTTCACAACAATGCCAGGTAGCAGAGGATGTTGCTTTCTTGCCCTCAGAGTGAGGCTGTACCCACTATCTACAGCTAAATGTGGAATTTGGCCTGCTGTCATGAGACACTTGTGTGAGTACCAGAGGAGACATCACATGTCAAGTGAACACCTTTCTAGTAAATGTTGGGGTTGAAATGCTTTGTTATCCCAATTGCACAGAAAACGTGGCTTGACATTTGTTTTCTCTAGACTTTTTCTATGAGTGGATGGAGGGGGGAGGAAGAGAGGGAAGGAAGGTACCTGACAGCAAATGAATCCTAGCAGCATCTGGGAGGCTGTTGAAGGATCTGCTGGCCCTGAAGGCAAAGGTTTTTGTGCAAGAGTTTCAGTATGACAAGATTACCAGGAAATGCTGCAATGGATTTAGAGTATATTAGTGACCTTTCTGGTGCTGTACACTGTTCGTAGGCCTGACAGCTGGGCTTGTTGTGTTCTTTCTCTTTGTCACTTTACCTCTTGTGTGCTCGTGTCAACAAGCAAAGCTGCTTGCTTCAGCCTCAAGTTGAACAATTTTCAAGACATTTCTTAAGTTGCCCTGAGCATCTCTAATGAAAAAAAAACTTTTCAAGTTCACTGAAATTTAATGCTTAATAAATGTTCAGAGAATGCATTTCCTTATGCTTAAATACATTTTTATTGTAGTTCTAAATATTTCCTATAATTTTTTGTGCTAGTCATGTTCCTGAATATCAGGGCCAATTCAAGGGAAGAAAACAACCAGAAGAAAAACATTTCTTCTCCATCCCACAGTCCCCTTCAGATCTACAGAAGTCTGTTTTCATTCTCGTCCATATTACACTGAAGCACCTAAGTACAGGGATGAAATGGGGACTCAGGAGGCATGCATGGACCACCTATACATATGAGCACAGGGGTGTGTTCCTGTGCTTGGGAAGGGCATGCACACAGCACATGCTCTCATGTAGTCGAGAGAGATCAATAGGATTCGTAAAAGAGCCTCAGGGTCTTCTATGTCAGGAAAGTCATGTACTTAATGGTGCTGGGCTGATGAGGTGCTCAGAGAGTTTGGTAACATGAAGCCTAAGTACAGCTGTCTGGATTTTATGTGGGATGAGTTGCCATCCCCTCTGAGCTGTCTTCTGCAAACTTATTCCTAATGCTGTTGGACGGAATTTGCTGCTCCACAGTTGATATCTCTTCTGGAGTTCAGGTGAGGAGCCACATACTCCTCTCTGCTTCCAGGCTGGAATATCCACCCAAAAGGGAAGAGCCAGATACCTAGGCTTTTGATTTATCAGGGGTTTGTAAGTCCAAATGGAGGTCTTTCATAGAATCATAGAATCAGCCAGGTTGGAAAGAACCTCTGAGATCATCAGGTCCAACCCTTTATCCACTGCTGCTGTGGTTACTAGACCATGGCACTAAGTGCCACATCCAGTCTCATCTTAAAAACCTCCAGGGATGGAGAATCCACCACCTCCCTGGGCAGCCCATTCCAATACCTGATTACCCTCTCTGTAAAGAATTTCTTGCTAATATCCAACCTAAACCTCCCCTGGCAGAGCTTAAGAGCATGTCCTCTTGTCTTACTGATAGCTGCCTGGGAAAAGAGACCAACCCCACCTGGCTACAACCTCCTTTCAGGGAGTTGGAGAGAGTGGTGAAGTCTCCCCTGAACCTCCTCTTCTATTTAACTGCATAGAGCACTCTTGAAAGCTTGAAGGCAACACACAAACTTGGCCTAACTGGTTTGAAAGAGTGATAAAAGGGTGGAGAAGGAAAGGACACCTGAAAATGAGCAAATGATTAGACAGTAGCTTGGAAATTCATATCTGTATGTGCAAAAACATCTACTGAGCATGTTTTGCAGTGGCCTGCATATGTCATGTCTGTCAAATTGTATCTCGGGAATGGCACTGAAACTCCAGATCTTGCTTTTCCTTCAACACCTTTGAGCTGGGAAGCAGCCTATTTCAGAAGTGCTGTTTTCCACCTCTCTGAAACACTTGATGGATGTGCAGAAATTTTTTAGGGTGCTGAATCATCACTGGAGCTCAAGACTTGGACAAAAGCTGAACTGGAATTCAGCAGGAAGAAGCTGGGGTAAAAGAGCAAAGTCTTGAATTCTTAGTGTGTGCAGGTGGGTCACATTGTTTAAAATAAAAACTTGTTTTATTTGCATATTTGTTGATTGAACATACAAAAGCAGGTGGCTGTCTCCCAGGACAAATAATGAAGTTGACAGCGTTGGTAATGCCAAACAGCTAAAGGCAGTGAACCCATTAGATCTAAAGAAGCTGAAAACAAAGGAAGTGGCTATTTGGTACAGTTACTACACTCAATTAGTAGGATTAGGTTGGGGTGGTTAGGGGGCTGTAGCTTTCTGGCTTGGTTTTCAAGATTAAGTAAAAAAAAAAAAAAGCCACAACTGAGAAACCTGAGTGGTTTCAGGCTAGAGATTATTTACATTCCTATCTTGAGAATTATGAGAAGATGAGTATGTTGTCACTGCCCTCACTGCTCAGTTTGGGAAGCCCTATAGTGCCTGCATGCCCTGATTAGGTCGAATCTCTGGAGTTGGTATCTGCTTGAGAGAAATCTTAATCTGCCTCAGGATGTGAAAAAAAAATATTCTGCAAGATAGTTTGAATTCAGGTTGTCATTGTAAAGTGTGTGATCTCACTTTGAAGAATTTAAGAACAGTGGTGAATCTTACGGGACTTTCAAAGCAGTTTGTCATACGGAAGACACATGGGACTGTCTACAAGCATAAAAGGGGGCTCAGTTCCCAAGTATAGCCAATTTGCTGATTGAATTGCAAATTAATAATTTATCGCCTAATTTTTTTGCATAATCATTGCAGATGTTTCTGGATGATCTCCTTAAGGATTGTATTCAAAGACTTGGGACATGATTCAGAAAAATATGCTCCCCGAGAAAGCACTAAAGTAGTAAATCTAAGAAAGCCAAAGGGCTTCAGTCACAGATGATTAAATACTTTCTTTAACAGAGGTGGACTTTACATATAGGTATTTGTTTCTTGATACTTGGCTAGTCTGCACAATTCTTACAGAACATTCGAAGTACAAAGCTTTGCTTTGGGGAAGGCTTTATGTTGAAATTTGAAGGTAAATTGACTAGGAGAGGTCCTGTAATACACTAAGGCAGCTGTTTTCAAGTACAACTCCTGTTATTACAAGAAGTTACTTTCTATAACTCCTGGTTTTAATTGCATATTGCAACATAACTGAGGATTCTTATGAAAAAAAAAAAAGCTTGCTGTTTAAACCCACACTAAAACCCACCCTAGGAATCCAGAGCAATGATGGTTTAAAAAACATAGGAGAAATAAATTGAATTCTAATCACTTCTTTTCTGTTGTGCTAAAATGCTGAGGGATTTGCTAAACCTACAGTTTGATAAAATTGAATCCCTGCTTAATGATTGTATTTGCTAAACCAGTTCACTGCAGTGGATACATTGCATGTTCTTTCCTTTCTGACCTCCCCTGGTTTAGAGAAGACAGGATTTGGACAGTTGTAGCTGGATTGAACAGCATGATAAGAGCTGTAAAATGTTACCAGCAAGGAGTGTGGTTTTGTGATAAACAAAGAATTGCAACACTGAATGTCTTTCGGCAGCCATCCAGGCAGAACCAGCGTGCAGCAACTCCAGCAAACCTCTGGGATCGAGAGAAATACCAGGAGCAGTGCATAAATGGGAATATTTTTTAATACCCTAGATACCCTAGATACTGTCTGTGTTTGTTATTGCAGATGCTTGACATCCTTGGGTTGGGTTTCTTTTTTTTGTCCGTTATAACAACAAGCCTAAAAAGCACTTTGTTCTGTTTCCTTAGGAGTGTGCCATCTCCTATTTCATTTCATCTTCAGCCCTTTGTTTGGCCATCCTGTTTCCCTGCAGATTTGCAAGGAGAAACTTACCTTTGTATGTATGAGTGACAGCAAAATTCTACTGCATTTTCGGTGATGAAAAGGGTAACAGTGTCTCCACAGAAATAGGAATATTTCCGGGGCTCCAGATTCTTATTTGCAATAGCCCTTTATCTGCTGTTATTATCATAGGTCCGCTCTAAATCAGTATTTTGGATAATTTTTTCTTTACTAGAACACAAATATTTTTTAAAAAAGCAGCAGCAAAACAAGAGACAACAACTCAGAGACTACAAATTATTTGCACAATCTAATTCTTATGATAGGATCATTCATTAACAGCCTTTTTTTGTTGTTGTTTTGTTTGTTTTTTGTTTGTTTGTTTGTGGTTTTTTTGTTCAGTGTATCAGTGACATTAATTTTGTGATTCTACTTCCTTTGGTGAGGGAGGGAGATAAGGAAGAAGAAAATCCATATTTATGGCTCGGATTAGATCTGCTGAGTTTCAAAATGTATGTATGTACTTCTGTTCTGTAATACCTTATGAACCTCCTAGCAGCTGAAAACTGCAATAGCTCCAAAATCTTAATGAAATGTCACGTGCTGCCTATTAAGTTTAAAATGCCTGCTGAAATGTGCAGAGCCTGGACTTTCTGGCTGTCGAGCACACAGAGCACTATATGTGGAATTAGTTGTGACTGTCAGTTCTTCGAGATCAAACTCAAGTCTTATGCCTCATTTAAAGCTGTTAGCAGACTTGGACTCTGAGGATCTCTGTCATATGTCCTATATGCAGTGGCAGCCCTCATTTTATAGATCCGAAGCAAGCAGCCTTTGATAAGGAGACATTTATGAATTTTGAGGGCAAATTATCCATCTCCTTAAGAGATTGTTAAATCCTTGATTTAGTAAGTGGCTCCGTTTTTGCCGAAGGAAAATGGAAATTTGGTTAAATCATCCTGGTACTGTCCACCTTTGCTTGGTGGCCTGAAAGGAGGAGGTGTCCTGGGATGAATGTTGAACCAGGTGATGGGATGTGACCCACCACAAATCTCTGTTGAAATAATGGTCCCATAAGAACCGACCACAAATACGCTTCTTGCTGGAATGGTCCAACATGACATCTCTGGCTAGAGCACGGGGTCTTATGGTTCCTCTGTGACTTTTAAGGTTTAAAAGAAACATGGCACCCTTTCTGTAAGATTCCTTCAGCTTTCTGTGTTGTCACAAATGTAGAGCTCTCTTGGCCACCTGGTAGGCTGCAACCTGGAGGACCTGCCCTTCTAGTCAGCTTCTGGTGAGAAAGGTAGTCCCAAAGTAGGCTGTCTCGTGACAGGGCACTGTGTCTGATGCTGCTTCTGTTGGTGTGCTGAGGGTTAAGTGTGCCGCTCAGATGCTCTTTTGTGGTAGCCTCTAAAAAGTGTTTCTCAACCTCCCCTCCTCCCCCACCCTCATTTTGCTTATAATTGTTTCAGAAAAAAACCAAAAACAGGCACTAGGAAAAACAAAAAGAAGAGTAAAGCTGTTCTTCATTCAGGCCACGTTTATACCATCTGTTCTGTATCTATTTAAACTCTGTTGGGAGAAAGCAGAGGTGCCCCTGAATTTCAGCTGTGCTCCAAATGAATCCCAATAGGCTTCCTGTTTGGGAGACTAAACCTTGCTAAGCAGAGGACCTCTGAGAAAAAAATTTTTTTGAAGTCCTGGGAGTCAGCAGATGTAGTTGGTGGTTGCTGGAAAGAGCAGAGGGGAGCAGTGGCAGCCTTTGCAGCGA